TTTTTTTTTTTATTTTTTTTTTATTTTTAGTGCAATTAAACTAATTCAAACGCAGTGGGAAAGAGAGCGACAGAGAACTTAATTGCGCCAAAGTTGTCAAGTTTATTTTAAGTTACAAGTTTACTAGTGTTGTCAAGGGTATGTTTGGTTCGGAGGGGAAGGGAAGGGAAGGGAAGGGAATGGAGAGAAGGGATTCAGTGAAGGGAAAAGAAGTGAAATCACATGTAGTTTAAAAAAAATGAAAGGAAGGAAAATAAAGTTGAAATGACAAATATATCTTTAATGGAATACGAGATTTAAAAAAAAAAATAGAAAGTAAGGTCAAAATGGTCAATTACTACTCAATCAAAATCTCTACCCTACAAATTTCTTCAATTTGGATGGAAGGGAAAGTGTAGAGTCCATTGCAAATGGAGCTGGAAGAGTCAATATTGACAATTCTTCTGGCATCGTGCAAATAATGGACTAGATCAAACTGGCTCAATTAAATTCTAGTGCTTCTTCTATTCGTGAAGTTTCTAGAAAAAATATATCAAATGACGCAACGCACCTTGGGTCGCTATGGAAACAGCCTCCTTGTATAATTACAAGGGTAAGGTCTGCGTACAACTGACCTCCCAGACCCTAACCTGTTTGGAAATATACTGGGTATGTTGATGTTGATGAATGTGGATGGAAGGGAAAGCGTATGTTTTGTGCAAAAGAAGGAAAGAGAGGGGAGGTAATGTCAAACAATTTTACTTTGGATAAAAAAATATTAGGGGACAAAAAAATACAAGAAAATAAACTATTTTACCCTTTATGAAATAGGATAGAGAAACAAAACAAATTGAAGTTTAGAAGTAATATTGTAATTTCCGTCGTGTGAAAATCCACCCCATAAAAATTTTCCAATTTTGAAGGGAGCAAAAGTGAGGAAGGAAATGGATTCCAACGTAAAATTTTCCTCACAATCCACTCACAATTCTACACTCAAACAAAGAAAAACTAAGGGCGCGCCTGCTTATTAACTAGTCCATTCAAAACGAGGTTTGTTAGTTAACTAGAGTTAATTTTACAAAAGATTGTATGATTAGTTGTTAATGTGATTTTAAGAATGTATTCAAATTATGTTTCAAATAAAATGATTAAAATTGAAAATAATAGGTAGTTAAAATTATTTGAGTTAATAGATTGTGATTTAAAGTTGATGTGTAAGAATGATTAGTGTGTATTATTTAATTATATGGATAATATTAGGAATGTTGTTAATTGGAGTCCTCACTATTCACCAAGCATCCATTAATCCAAGCATAAAAGAGGTGCAGTAAAAGAACGAAAAAGAGAAGCAGAAAAGTCTCACTTTTATTCATCGGTATTCACTCTTTTATAGAGTTTACAATGGAGAAACCCTCAAACCTAATCCTACTAACTAATGGACTTCAGGCCCAATTGTATATTAGTAATGTCCATATTAATATATTTATAACACTACCCCTTGGACATTACTACATGCCTCATTAAAAACCTTGCAATTAAAAATCCAACAAGGGAAAAAAAAATAGGCAAGGGAAAAAGAGTACATGATTTATAAAAATTCATGTGTTTTACTAGCTGCCTCGTTAAAAACCTTTACCTAATAAACCCATTGGGAAAAACTTAGTTAAAGGAAAAAAGAGTACAACATTTGGTCTTCAGGACCTAATCTTCAGGATTATTTTGAGTTTTTCCCTCCCCCTGAAGACAATAGTCTTCCCAGTTTACGCATACCAATACCATAAATATATTTTTCAAAAGTAGATGTAGGAAGGGATTTGGTGAATAGGTCTGTCAAGTTCTCGCTAGACCTTACCTTTTGTACAACGATCTCACTGCTCTTCTGGAGCTCGTGTGGGTAAAAGAATTTTGGAGCAATGTGTTTTGTCATGCTTCCTTTGACATACCCACTACTCATTTGTAAAACACAAGCTGCATTGTCCTCATAAAGGACAGTGGGGGTTATATCATTTGTCATTCCACATGATCTACGAATATGTTGAATTAAAGATCTTAACCATACACATTCGCGTGAAGTCTCATATAAAGCAATTATTTCTGAATGGTTTGAAGATGTAGTAACCATGGACTGCTTGACCGACTTCCAAGAGATTGCAGTACCACCACAAAGAAAAACATAACCAGTCTGTGATCTAGCATCAGACATATACCCAGCATCCGAATAGCCCACCAGTGTCATATCTTGATTTTTCTTATAAAGTAAACCAAGATCTTGTGAACCTTGAAGATACCTAAAAATATGTTTAATACCATTCCAGTGTCTCCTCGTAGGAGAAGCACTAAATCTTGCTAGCAAGTTTACTGCAAATGCAATATCAGGCCTGGTGCAATTTGTAAGATAAAGTAACGCGCCAATGGCGCTCAAGTAAGGAACTTCTGGTCCTAAATTTTCTTCGGTATTTTCTTTAGGTCTAAATGGGTCCTTATCCGCTTCAAGGGATCGGACAACCATTGGTGTGCTAAGTGGATGAGATTTATCCATGTAGAATTTTTCTAAAACCTTCTTCAAGTAGGTTGACTGGTGTACAAATATTCCTTCAGGGAGATGCTCAATCTGCAGGCCGAGAGAATATTTGGTTTTACCCAAATCTTTCATTTCAAACTCCGTCTTTATGCATGAGCTAGCTTTATCAAGATCCTCTCGTGTGCCAATTATATTTATGTCATCGACATAAACTGAAATGATGCAAAAACCATTCGTTGACCTCTTTATAAACACACAGGGGCACACATCGTTGTTCACATAATTATTTTTCAACAAAAACTCACTCAGTCGGTTGTACCACATTCTACCCGACTGTTTAAAGCCATATAATGACTTTTGTAATTTAACGCTATACATGTTGCGCGTTTCATTTTCCTTTATTTCGGGAATCTTTAATCCTTTAGGGATTTTCATATATATATTTGTGTCTAATGACCCATATAAATATGCGGTTACGACATCCATTAACTGCATATCTAAATTCATAGTTACTGCCAGAGATATCAAATAGCGGAACGTTATTCCATCCATTACAGGAGAATATGTTTGATCAAAATCAATTCCGGGTCTCTGCGAAAACCCTTGAGCAACTAATCTCGTTTTGTATCTCACCACATCATTATTTTCATTTCTCTTTCGCACGAACACCCATTTATATCCTACTGGGATAACATTTTGAGGTGTACGCGCAATAGAGCCAAAAACTTTTCGTTTATTTAGCGAGTCTAGTTCAGCCTCAATTGCCTCTTTCCATCTTACCCAATTGGAGCGCTTCCGGCACTCTACAATTGATTTTGGTTCTGGATCCAGATTATTGGAGA